CAGACACGGTTCAGGAATCGAACTCAGGTTCAGATTCATAGCATCGGTACACGAGCCGCTATGCTCTTGCTCCGCCCAAACACATGCACAGGGACACATACACACATGCCGGCAAATGGTACACACACGTAAAGAGTCCCCTTTCAGTCTGCTTACACTGTTGGCACGAACATAATTAGAGTGAGCATGTAACGTAACAAGGGGTTGCGAAGCACGACTACTCATTGTCAATGTTCATACAATACCGTACACAAGGCACGAATTCATAGGCTAATTTGACCGTGGGACGGCCCAGGTCAGGTTTAGAACTCCAAATGACGCCGGTGTGATACATAGCCAGGAATCAAATCTAGACCGCTGGGATTGTAGTGCCGTGTGCCAAATCGCTACAGCACTCTCAGACACAAGCAGACGCACAGACGCAATCTCAGACCAACACTGCATCTGACTCACTACAGGCTTGGTCTTGTGACAGTGCAGGTCACGTGAGGACATCGATAGAATATGATACAAAGCCAACAAATTATTAATTACCTAACAAAAACAGGAAAATAAATCCCGCAAGAAGAGACAATTCCATTGCCATTAAATGGCTCGGCGCTGTTAACGGACTTGTGGATTTACAGCAATTCTGACATTTCGCGTCGAGGCCAGTGGCTTCTGATTTGTCCTGTAAATTTCGTCTGACCGCATTCCACCGGCTAGCCTCAGGACGTCAGGGAGAACACAGATGCAGCAATTATGAGGCTCTCTAAAGGCCCTCAGGGGAGTGCACAATTACTGGCAAAACCAGCGGAGGAAAGGGAACGGAATGATGAAAAACGCCCTTTGCTTGTCGGCTACCACCGTCGTGAACGGGCGAAGTTAAGTTACGAAGTGTCTCGCTTGCTTAAAAAAAAGTTTTGTTATTTAACCCTTTCATCCACCATGCCCACTTTGTTGTGCCTCTGCGATTGTATATATACTGTTATGCATATTTAGAATTGCTGTAAAATTTTAGGAAACATTTCCAATGCATTTTAGGGGTTCCTTTAATTCGTAAAAATAAACACAAAATCGAATTATTTTTTTAAAATAATAATTGAGATTCATAAGGCGCAGTTCATCCAGGGATCGCAGTGCACCTTGCACGAAGTTAGGGAATATACATGGTGTACTAAAAGGTCCACTGAGTCCACTGGTCATACATGGGAAGTGTCGGCCAGGCAAAACAGGTGAGTCTGCGAGATGTTAACTACCTCGCCTGGTATACAGGAGGTCGTGGGTTCGATCCTGACGCTGAACGCCTGTATATTTGAAGTTTGTTCTCCCTGTGGTCGGTGAATTTTTCTCCGGGTCCTCTGGATATTCTCTAGACATTCAGAAACATACGTATAGAGTATTTGGCTGCAATACATTTCCACACGATAAGCCACTTCGCCAAGCTATCATTTGTGGCCAGGTCGCTTCTGAAAAATAGCTACATAGCTCAGTGGGCCTTACCTGGTAAAATATATGTATGTATATAAATATATAAACCGAGCAAGTGAACTCGCATGTCTAACCACTCGTGGCAGGACGTTCCATAGCGATTCCCCTCTAGAAGGTATTTGGTCTACTCGTCCACACTGGCCAGACATTTTGGAAGAGGTTGGAGTACCCACACTTTACCCCACTGCACGTGACCTGCCGATCGGCTAACAGTGGTGTATCCATTTACATTGCTGGGTGTACGACAGAGGTGGGAGGGATTTAAAAAACCTCCTCCAACGTTCAAACTACCACGCCAGGTGATTGAACCGGGAGATTGAAACGGGGAATTTAAACGGGAGATTGAAACGAGGGATTGAAACGGAGGATTGAACCGGGAGATTGAAACGGGGGATTGAACTGGGAGATTGAAACGGGGTATTCAAACGGGGGATTGAAACTGGAGATTGAAACGGGAGATTGAACCGGGAGATTGAAACGGGGGGTTTAACTGGGCAATCTTTTGAACCGGCGATTGCAATTCCAGTTTCAGTGTTGCAAAGCATAATACTATGGGAGCATCCCCTCTTAATTTACGAAATATAAAATATCATCATAAAACAAAATGCATGCTTATTATTTTGGAATAAAAAATCAGACGCTGACCGGGAGAAGTCTCTAAGGAGAACAATAGAACTACATCCCAGTTCCCATTCTTCCTCCTTCCTGCACACAAACAACGAACGAAGTGAAGGGTAAATCACAGTGGCCAGGATTTCCCGTCCACTGGTCATCGTGACTAAACATAGACCTCATCCAAGACGTGCTATGAAGCACATAATATTTTCCAGTGCAAGTAGCCCAGGATATGAAATGAAGTAATGCACAACGCTACATCAGGAACGTACAGCAGCCCATTAGAAACATACCGGACACCGTGTATTGTCCAAATGTTATAACAAATTCTCATGCTTCATTCCTACATCACTCCCAACTATTTTTTTTCGTGTCCACATTTCATAATTCACCGTGCAGCATGACATCACTACCCAATGCGGCGGTGGATGTGGCCGCAGGCACAGGACTGGACGAGACGTGCGGTCTGTGGTCAGTAAAAACAAATGTAAAGTCCTCTTTTATTTCAATTTGTTTTGTATATCTGTGTTTTTGTTAATCACACGTGTGTAGTAAGAAAGCTTGCATTACATGATTGTTTATGCATCTGTGCGGACATTGGTATAAATGCGCATTAATGCAAATCTTTGCTCGACATATCCAGTTGTCCAAAGCCTCTTGTTGTTATCAGTTTGATAACAAGAGGACACAATGGCTTGCGTGTTGTTTTGAGTCTAATTTATTAAATGCAACATCCTACCGCCATTCGCTGCCTCCTGCCTGCTTCTGCTGCCCCCATGCAGGAAAGTGAGGAATTCTCTTCCGAACTTGAACGTTTGTTTGCTTCACCGGTTTTTTTTCTTCTTTTAAAGACAAGCCAAGTGAAGGCCTACGTAGAGGAGACGCAAACGGCCGTGGTTCTTGGCAGGGGGGAGGGAAGTAGACATCCCCATTGTGTTTATTTGGTCAGGATCTCTGCCACAGATGCCGCAGCCTTCCTGGGGAGCACTGAGAAACGAGGGAAGTGAGCGGAGTTCAATGCCGAGACGTTCACTTGCTTCAAACTGATCAACTTCACCTTCATACGCTTCGCAAGCAGCTGTTTGCAACAATTGCACATCCATGGAGTTCACTTGTACGTAGTTTGATCAACTGCAGGGTGTCGACCGTTAAAAACTTCCAGCGTGGAAGAGTAGGCCAAACACACACACTAGAGGGGTTACCCAGAGCTGCCTCTAGTGGAAGCCTTTCACTAGAGGCAAACAATTTCAGGGCCGCACCGTTGGCCAATGTTAGATATTTTGTTTATCTGCCATGTGAACCTAAAGGCTTCGGATAATTGGACCTGTTTAGCAAACTAGTTTCATTGATGCACATTTATATAATTGTGCGTACAGATGCAATTACACGTCGTATGTCTTATGGACGTGTAATTGACAAATCACAAATATACAATACAAATTCTAAGAAGAAAAAAACCCACGAGATCCCCTGTATAACAATATTGACAGTTAGGGCGAGTGGTTTACATTTGTGCCACTTAACGAAGGCAGGCATGGCGCACAAGGGGGTGGTGTGGTAGACACCACACCTGGCTGCCTTTGTTTTTCCCAGTGCTGATATTTGTACACGACACCAATAACTAATGTATGGCTGAGTAAACCTAGAGGAGGCCCAGTACTACTCGTTAAAATATCGCCACTCAGGTTAGCCATGGTCGGGAATCAAAATCAGCTCGTTGGGTTCATAGTGCAGTGCACTTACCGTTGCATAAGCTCTCCATCCCACACACATGTAAACATGCACACACACTCGTGCGTACATGCCTAAAACACGTGCAGATGCAAGCAGGATGGCATAAGTACATATTAAATGTACGTTTATGCAAAGTGCATGCAAGGCATATTGCACATCACTGAGTGAAGCTGTGTAGAAAACCTCATATTGTAGGTACATTAACTGTGATCATCAATTTACTGTCAAGAGACAATGTGACATCTAGGCTCTCCGCTTTGTTTAACTTTGAGGAATTTAAAAACGATTACTTCGTTTAAAAAAATGTACGAAGGGCTTATCCAGGACCTGATCATCCAAGGAGTTATTATTATTAAAGTGAAATATATTTTAAAAAAATCATAAATAAACATGGCACAGCTGAGATGGTAAGTTTTGGAATACAAATCAGACGAAAAGTCGAGGCTTTTCACAGGGACACTATCGGAGTGGATAAGCAAACGCATTAGCATATCAACACTAGACAACGAATAAGAATAGGTTTTTCCCCGTTTTTCTGGCAACAAAACTGAAACCTTTTTATTAGGAATCATGTCTGCATTAACCACAATACTTGTGGTCAGAATGCAAAAAAAAAAACCTTTTGATAATATATGTATTGTCCTTGAAACTGTGTTGGTCTACACCAGAGACAGCTTTCTTTTGAATTCTAGATTTGAAGCTTTCGTGACTGCAAGGATCCATACTCTTTGGTTCTATTCGGTAAAGTCAGGTAGGTAAAAAATAAAATAACAAAAATCGCGACGTTTCGGCCACAACACAAGTGGCCTTCATCAGGTGAAGGGACCGTGCTGTCATAAGGACAACGCTGTCCTCATGACAACGCTGTCCTCATGACAGCACGGTCCCTTCACCTGATGAAGGCCACTTGTGTTGTGGCCAAAACGTCGCGATTTTTGTTATTTTATTTTTTACCTACGTGACTTTACCGGATAGAACCAAAGAGTAAGTTTTCTTTTGAGCCTAGCCTCAAACGGTTAATGCAGACATGATTCCTCGTAAAAAAAAAGTTTTCAATTTTGTTGCCAGAAAAAAGGTGAGAAACCTATTCTTATATTTTGGTACTGGCAAAGGAGGCCTCATGAACTAGACGACGCATTGAAAGTCTTCACCATCTCTGATTTGTGTGGCGTACGTCATACCGAGTGACATTGCCAAGGGATGGAACGCATCCGAGAGGGGTTGTCCACTGAAGGAGATCCAGCGATGACCTCCGTTCATGTGCAGGCAGTTGAGTGCATGGTCACATCATGGGATCGGGAGAGGTGGCGATGGCTGAGCTGCACCTTCATCCAGCAAATAGATTGACCATGGCTCATGTCAATGATGATGATAGCTGTCATTGAAACAATCAATATAAAGTTTGATGAGGGAAAAAAAATAAACATTTAGCATGTTTTTTTTATTGTATTCATATCGCCCGCGACAACAAGAAGAGTCACGGTTTTTTGTATTCAGTTTATTGTCATTTTCCCCGCACCTCCAATGAGCACAGTTGGTTACGTACGGTGCGAAAGAAGTTCAACATACGTACACAGCAATGCACTATTAAACGCGTACTTACCGCGAGGTGAAAGCCCATTACAATGAGGCTCTTGCTGCCAAGTCGGATTCGCGTGGTAAGAAACTTTGGCTGTCATAGTTTCCTATTAATCAAGGAAGCATGCCTACTATAATCACCCAGGAAAATGTATTAACGCTCATGACGTCACTTCACATCGACCAGCCCCCCTCATTAATATTCATGAGCAGGTGACGTCCTCCAAATTGAGATCCCCCCACCCCTCTTCATTAATAATCATTAGCGGATGAGGTCACTCAACAGCGAACAGCCCTCCTCATTAATAATCATGGACAGGCGACGTCCTCCAAATGGACACCCCCGCCATTATTATGACCTACTACGAGCTAAGAATGTCTGTGTGCAACGCGCGTGACGTCACTCCACGTTGACCAGGCCCCTAATTAATAATCATGAACAAGTGATGTCACTCCACATGGAGCACCCTCCCCCCTCATTAATAATCATGAGCAGGTGACGTCCACCAAATGGACACCCCCCCCCCCCCATTATTATTACTTACTATAATAAGCTAATCATGTCTGTGTGCTACGCTCGTGACGTCACTCCACGTCGACCTGCCCCCCCCCACCATTAATAATAATTAGCGGGTGACGTCACTCCACATGGGCGGGGGGCGTGGCGCCTCCACCCCCCTCCTCGGCGTCAACTGACAACCCACACTACAAAGACAGAACCCTCACGTCATCACGTGATCTCCGTAACGCTGCTGTTGAGACATCAAAGTAAAAAGGACGTCATGATGAAAAAGGGATTACAATCTTTGGGTCTTTCGGTAAAGTCACGTAGACAGAAGAAAAATAATAATAAAAAAATCACGACGTTTCGATCGCAACACGAGCAATCATCTTCAGGTGAAAAAATACAGCAGGCGCACTGCTGAGGCAGGAAGAAATACAGCGAGAGAGCTACCGCAGCAAGAGGTTATATCAACAAAGATTTGTTCATGAAGCCATCCAGGTATATAAACACAAACATAATTTCAACCGGTAAGATGGATACAAACTGAGCAATCATTGGAAGGATGTCATAACTGGCTGTGATGCTTCCATCCTACCTGCCGATGTTAACAGTTATTTCCGACTCTCTGAGTTACTATATTAAATTTTGATTTAAAGCTTTCGTGACTGCAGGGATTCATATTCTTGGTTCTTTCGGCAAAGTCCCGTAGAAGGGAAACAATAAAATAATAAAAATATTGTTTTTTAAAATAAAATAATACAAACCTTGTTTTTTTATAATTTTATTGTTTCCCTTCTACGTGACTTTACCGAAAGAACCAAGAATATTACATTACCATGTTAAATGTCTTTACATTAACAGGCTAAATGTCTCACTAACATAGCCGCTGCTCCCTTTCCCTCGATGTGGCGGCGGTGACGCTCGTTGTTTAATAGCAGAATGTCTCTCATTAACACAGCCGCTGCTGCGGGAGCCGTCTCACATTGACATGCTAATCTCTAATCACGAGCAATACAATGGCTTCTTCAGCACCGTTACCATGGGGTTACATTAACACATTGACATGCTAATCTCTAATCTCAAGCAATACAATGGCTTGTTCAGCATCGTCACCGTGGGGTTACATTAACACATTGACATGCTAATCTCTAATCACGAGCAATACAATGGCTTCTTCAGCCCCGTCACCGTGGGGTTACATTAACACATTGACATGCTAATCTCTAATCACGAGCAATACAATGGCTTCTTCAGCACCGTCACCGTGGGGTTACATTAACACATTGACATGCTAATCTCTAATCTCAAGCAATACAATGACTTCTTCAGCACCGTAGCCGTGGGGTTACATTAACACATTGACATGCTAATCTCTAATCTCGAGCAATACAATGACTTCTTCAGCCCCGTCACCGTGGGGTTACATTAACACGTTGACATGCTAATCTCTAATCTCGAGCAATACAATGGCTTCTTCAGCATCGTCACCATGGGGTTACATTAACACATTGACATGTTAATCTCTAATCTCGAGCAATACAATGGCTTCTTCAGCCCCGTCACCGTGGGGTTACATTAACACATTGACACGCTAATCTCTAATCTTGAGCAATACAATGGCTTCTTCAGCATCGTCACCATAGGGTTACATTAACACATTGACATGTTAATCTCTAATCTCGAGCAATACAATGGCTTCTTCAGCATCGTCACCATGGGGTTACATTAACACATTGACATGCTAATTTCTAATCTCTAGCAATACAATGGCTTCTTCAGCCCCGTAACCGTGGGGTTACATTAACACATTGACATGCTAATCTTTAATCTCTAGCAATACAATGGCTTCTTCAGCCCCGTCACCGTGGGGTTACATTAACACATTGACACGCTAATCTCTAATCTCAAGCAATACAATGGCTTCTTCAGCCCCGTCACCGTGGGGTTACATTAACACATTGACATGCTAATCTCTAATCTCTAGCAATACAATGGCTTCTTCAGCCCCGTCATCGTGGGGTTACATTAACACATTGACATGTTAATCTCTAATCTCTAGCAATACAATGGCTTCTTCAGCATAGTCACCGTGGGGTTACATTAACACATTGACATGCTAATCTCTAATCTCAAGCAATACAATAGCCGAGGTATACCTAGCTCTGCGATCTTACATTTACTTGCAAATTCCATCTCTAGCCCCGCCCACTTACCCTTGGGTTGTACCCATCTCACACCTATAGAACCTCTTGCTGCAGTAGTTAACTCGCTATATTTCTTCCTGCCTCAGCAGTCTGCCTGCTGTATTTTTTGACCTGAAGACGATTGCTCGTGTTGCGATCGAAACGTCGTGAATTTTTAGCAATTTTCTATCAACGTGACTTCACCGAAAGACCCAAAGAGTATGAATTCCTGCAGTCACGAAAGCTTTAAGTCAAGATTTAAGTGATTATAACCTTAAAATGAAATAGGTCTGCGTCACCGCGCCCTTACGAATTGCACACGAATTGATGCAATGAATATCACGTCGCGGTCTGCTTTTCGATTGCAAGTTTCAGATTTACTACAATATGCCCGTCCTTAGGCTTGGCAAAAGGCTAGTAGATAAATAATTGCAGCAAAGCACATGTCTCTTCCATTTAATTTCGAAACTTCGTGAATTCACCTCGCGATACGACCGTGCTGTACTTGCAATCCAGTGGTCACCGGTTCGATCCCCAAGTGCACAAGTTGAAACAACGATGCAAGATTATTAAATCCCTCCCTGCCTTTGTCCACCGAGTATTATGAATGGGCAGTCCACGGGTTGTCGATTGTATGTACGTTATGTGTATGTGTGTTGAACTTCTCTCGCACCGTACACAGCCAATCAGAAGGACAATAAACTTAACACAAAAAGCAATTCTAAAGAAATGAGTTTTCAATATAGATTTCAAATTGCATAGCGCCAATGGCTTCCTAATATTGGATGGAAGAGCGTTCCAGACGGCCGCAGAAGCGCATCTGAAAGCGCGCGACGCGTTGACCGTCTTTGTTCGATGGCCAGCCAAAAGCCGCTGCGAGGATGACCGGAGTTCACGCGATGGTTTATGCTCCTTGCCGTGATCAGCAATAACAAACCAAAGCAACACCGATGACAAAGTAAACACTCAAGTAAACCGCAGAGATGCTACTGTGTGTACATTAAAGATCCCATGTTTCTCTGTAAAAAAAAAGAAAATGGTGGGATGAAGTGCGGCTACTCCCAACTCTTCCCAGATGTCGGGTAAGTGTGGAGGAGTCGGCCATATATCCTCTAGAGGGGGCTCTCTATCGCTCCCTATATTGGAGGCCCTTCAACCATCAGTGGTGTGGGCAAGCATTTGCTGGGCTCCGCCTTTATCTCTCTACTATTCATCTCATGACGAATACGCACGATGCAAGAGTCCCAAAGTCATTGTGCTTTGTCTGAATATCAAATCTTATTTATAACAATAAAACAAAATATAGCCACGTTCATTTATTACAAGTGGTTATTTTACTAAAAAAAATATCGACAGCGGCTACACCTGGAACTCAGACTTTGAATGTCGACATTGGGGCATTTTTAAACAGTCCCCTGCATTCAGACATAAAGGGGCAGGCGGGGGGGGGGGATGTTCAGTTTTATGTTTTGTCATTTTCTGTGGCTTGAGGGCCAAATAGCTCTCTTACCCCCAGTGCAAATAATCATCAATCAAACCGCCCAGGTATGCGTGGTCGTTATAAACAAACAGCTTAGTTACGACCTTATGACAAGGGCCTTTAGGTATTGGTGAGCTCGCGTAGTCCCAAAAACAAAATTTATTTTAAACAATGATAATTGTTCGTAAAATAACCCCTCCTCCCCAAACAACGTCACACGAGTGGATAACATCACAACAGTAAGATGCTTTATACAGCTGCAAACAGCAGAAATGCAAAGTCTATGGTACATTACACAGCAACATGCTTTGTTTGCGCGTGAGACTTTTCTGTATGTTAAGTGCTGATATAATCACAACTGTTAGCTGAGCCTCGAAGCTTTGTAGCTTTATAGACAAGCAGACAGAGCGGAACACCTGGTCGTTTTGACTACCCCCCCCCCCCCCATTATCATGCCATCAAAGTCTTACAATTGGACATCATTTACCCTTTGATGTTCGGTTTTTTTTGCACTGCTGTCTGGACAGTTGTCCTGTAGCGGAACGCTCTTGGTAAATGCCGTGAGTAACGTGCTGTTGG